AAAGCTCCAGAAAATATATATATAAAATAACATGTCATGGTTGTGGTCTGCTATAGAGCATCACATCAGGAAGGAGGTGGATGAGGCATTTCTAGAACAAATAACAGAAATATCCAGAGCACAAGACCTGCTAGTAATGGGGGACTTGAACTACCTAGCCATCTGTTGGAAACACCACATTTCCAATAAGTTCTTGGAGTGTTTGGGGAATTGTATCTATTTCAGAAAGTGGAGGAAGTAACCGCGGGGGAGGGGACAGCTATTTGAGACTTGATTCTGACCAACAGGAAGAACTTGGTAGCGAATCTGAAGGTGAAAGGCAATTTGGGTGAAAGTGATCATGAAATGACGGATTTCATGATTCTAAGGAAAGGAAGGAGTGAGAGCAGCAGAATAAGGACAATGGACTTAATAAAAAAAAAAAAAAACCTGTGACAAACTCAGAGAAATGGTAGTTAAGGTTCCATGGGAAAAAAAATCTAAGGGAAATAGTTAAGTAGAGCAGGCAGTTTCTTAAGGAGATGGTATTAAAGGTACAACTGCAAACTATCCCAATGTGAAGGAAAGATAGGAACATTATAAATAAGAGGCCAATATGGCTCCATCAGGAGCTTATTAATGACCTGAAAATCAAAAAGGAATACTACAAAAAGTGGAAACATGGATGAGTTGCTAAGGAGTACAAAAGAATAGCACGAGCATGTAGGAACAAAATCAGAAAGGCTAAGGTACAAAATGAGTTACACCTAGTAAGGGACATAAAAGGCAATAAGAAGAGGTTCTTGAAATACATTAGGAGCAGTAGAAAGATGAAGGAAAGTGTAAGTCCTCTACTTAATGGCAAAGGAGAGCTAATACCTGATGACAGCAAGAAGGCTGAGATGTTTAATGTCTATTTTGCCTCAGTCTTCACTGAAAAGGTTAATGGTGACCAGATACTCAGCACAATTAATATGAACAAAAGGGGGAAGGAACACAAGCTAAAATAGGGGGGAAACAAGTTAAAGAATATTTAGATAAATTTTGATCTATTCAAGTCGGCAGGATCTGATTAAATTCATCCTGCGGTACTTAAGGAACTAGTTGAAGCAATTTTGGAACCATTAGCAATTTGCTTTGAGAACTTCTGGAGTATGGGTGAAGTCCCAGAGGAATGGAGAAGGGTATACATAATACCTATCTTTAAAAAGGGGAACAAAGAGGTCTCAGGGAATTGTAGACCAGTCAGCCTAACTTCAATACCCGGAAAGATACTGGAATAAATTATGAAACAATCAGTTTGTAAGCACCTAGAGGATAATAGAGTTATAAGGAATAGCCACCATGGATTTGTCAGTTCTGAGTCTGGTACTATTCAATATTTTCATTAAGGACTTGGATAATGGAGTGGAGAATATGTTTATCGAACTTGCAGATGACACCAAACTGGGAGCGGTTGCAAGCACTTTGGGGGGCAGGATTATAATTCAAAATGACCTTGACAAATTGGAGAATTGGTCAGAAATGAACAAGATGAAATTTAATAAAGACAAGTGCAAAGTACTTAGCATAGGAAGGGAAAGTCAAGTGCCCAACTACAAAATGGGTAATAACTGGGTAGGTGATAGCACTGCTGAAAAGGATCTGGGCTTTATACTAGATCACAAATTAAACATGAATCAACAATGTGATACAGTTGCAAAAAGGCTAATATTGTTCTGGGGTGTATAACATGAGCGTTGTATGTAAGACATGGGAAGTAATTGTCCTGCTTTACTTGGCACTGGGGAGCCTCACCTGGAGTACTGTCTCCAATTCTGGGTGCCACACAATTTAGGAAAGATGTGGACAAATTGGAGAGATTCCAGACAAGAGCAACAAAAATGATAAAAGGTTTATTAAACCTGATCTAAGATGAAAGTTTAAAAAAACTGGTCATGTTTAATCTTGAGGAAAGAAGACTGAAGGATAACCTGATAAGAGTCTTCAAATGTGGTAAGGGCTGTTATAAAGAGGTCAGTGGTTAGTTGCTCTCCATGTCCACTGAAGGTAGGACAAGAAGCAATGGGCTTAATCTGCAACAAGGGAGACTTAGGTTAGATATAGGCTTCCAATGGAGGTTGTGGAATCCCCGTAATTGGAGGTTTTTAAGACCAGGTTGGACAAACACTTGTCATGGATGGTCTAGGTTTACTTGGTCCTGCCTTAGCGCAAGAGGCTGGACTTGATGACTTCTTGAGGTCTCTTCCAGCCCTACATTTTTATGATTTTATATTAAAACAATAGTACGTGTCTGGAGACCAATAAGATGGGTTCCATGATAGCTGTGACTTCAGATCATGGCACATGCTGGAGTGTAACAGCTAACGTGATAAAAAAGGTAAGTTTTCAACTCAGAAAGGGTTGCATTTTACTCTGTCCTTTGCTATTTGGGGTGTTCAGTGTATAAAGCTATGCGTATTCCATTTTTTAAAAAGGATTGCTCGTCACCTTTTGAAAACAAAGATTTTGGTTGTACAGAAGTTAGGAGATTGAGTTACATTTTCCAGAACAATCTTATCTCTGCTCTGGTATGTATGATCACATAACTTGTATGCACTGACATGACATGCTACGTGCTTTTATCTGGTGTAATGGAAAAGAATGCAATTAAACATAACTCTACAGTGCATAATTCACATTATGTACATTGTCTTACTGGCAGAGCAGTATTAATATTCATTTAATGGGCTAGAGTTATAGTTGTTAGGGGGACCCAAAGCCTTCATAACTTGATTGTCAGCACACTTTGCTTGGGGAATGGTCGAGGGGATTATAGGTATTAGCAAAGAAGAGGTTAGTTAGGAGCAAGAAAAAAGTTCAACCAGAACTGCAAGAAGAGCTTCCATGCTGTAGTTACAGAATAGTTGCAGCAATGTAGTCTTCCCTGTGGGATGTGTTCTGAAGCATTATGCAGCAGACATGGGTTTATACCTACTCCTGGTACCTCACTCATTGGTGTTACAGTGATAACTGCATTTACTAGCTTACAGCCATGCTTCCATGGACTACCAGTCAGACCACATAACATGCGGGGCCTGCTCAATTCTCGTGTGACAAATAAGAGCCTGTGCCGTCTGCAGCTGCTATTTCTAGAACTACTTGTCGTTCTTAGAATGATTGTATATTCAAATATAAGTGACACGTAATCTTTCCAGCATCTGCAACTTTGAACATTTGTAGCAGCACAGTTTGGTACATGTTTCTGAAAGTTCTGCTTGGACACACTCTGCTCAGTGCTCTTAGACACACAAAAAGTCTTTGTCCCCAAGGAGCTCACAGTCTAAAAAACAGATCAGCCAAGAAAACACTCAGAATATTTTTACAGCAAGAGATGGAAGTGGTGATAATGATATCTTGCTGTGGGTTATAGTTCATGTTCCTCACAGAAGAAGCAGGGTTTCAATGAAGAGATGGGATGTTCAGATGGTGTATACTCAGCACACTACCTTTTACATACATTTCCAGAGTTTTATTTCTAAGCTAAATTTTCTATTAACAAGGCAAATCAGGAATTCCTCAGCCACCAACTTCGAAATATTTAAACAAAGCTGCGGCTGAGTTTTCAGGCCACCATCAAAAAAATAAAAAAAAATCTGAAAAATATCTCAAAAGCTTGAAAATGTTGTTTCTCCCAGAAAAAAACACTTCTGGGCTCAGACCAAGTGTAAGAAATGTCAGTATAAATAGATTTTTTTTTTAAAGTTCTATGTGAACTGAAAAGAGGGTTTATGAATGGAAGTGACATGAGGCTCGAGCTGTAACTATCACATGCCTGACTGTGGAACCTCTCCTCATGTTCTCCCTTCCTACTCCTCGGGCAAAAGAGTCGTCCTGTCTGAGAGAGCCGTGCTGCTCAGTCACAGGGTTTTGCAAGCTGATGTGCTTCCCCCCCCCCACTCCAGTGTGTGCTATGTGTGCTGCACTAGTTCTGTGATGGTCCCTTCTAACGCCTCTCCCTGTTCATCAATATCGTAGGTCTCTATAGTGAGAGCTGCCTCACTGTCATATATGCTGAGTTATTTTGAATTCTGTGAGTTATGAATTCTCTTCCTCATATAATTGCTGTTGAGTTACTGCCTTTCCCTGACACAGGCATTCCTTCCTTTTTAACTGCGCAGGTGTCTTAAGCCTCCCGCTTTGATATTCAGGCACTTCTTGGTGCATGTGTTCTCCTGAGATACTGTTAGAAATGTTAATAATTATTGGTGGACAGGCTGTTTCTTTAAAAGTGGGTTCAATTTCATGTTGCTGCCCCTCCCCCTTCCCTCCTCCCCGGATGACCGTCTAGCTCAGAGATTCTCAACCTTTTTCTTTCCGAGTCTCCCCCCAACGCCCCAACATGCTGTAAAAACTCCACAGCCCACCTGTGCCACAATAAGTGGTTTTCTGTGTATAAAAGCCAGGGCCAGTGTTAGGGCAATTGCCTGGGGCCACAGGGGCCCCCATGAAGCTACATTGCTCTGGCTTTGGCTTCAGCCTCGGGTGGCAGGGCTCAGGGCCCCAAGTTTCAGACCCATATAGGCAACGGAGACCTTTTAGATCTTATTTTAAATGCTGACATTTATCAGCAAGAGATAATTATTCACCCGTCCTCACCTACTGTCCTGGTATCTCATACACTCAACATGGTGTTAGAGCGAAGCCTCTGCAACTGAAAACCCACAATGAACAGGAAAAACTCAAGAGTAATCTTCCTCCCTGTAACTGTACAGCTCAGTAACCGCTTCTCCCACTGCCTCAGTCTGCTCCTGTCTGTTATCCGTGCTGATGAGGGATCTTACTCATCTGTACACTGTTTCCCTCGTTTCTGCTTCTCCATTTCTTGTATTTTTTCTTTTCTTTTCTTCTTGTTGTTTCCCTTCTTTCTCACTCTTATGCTTTTTGTCCTCTGCTTGTCTTTTATTTCACCCCTTTCCCCCTCTTCCTCTCCTCCTCCTCCTCCTCCTCTCCTCCCTCTTCCTCATTTGGTCTTATTGAAGTTGAGCCCAATGCCGGGACACCACGTCGTAGACCTCTCTCCTTCTGCCCTTGCTGTGCCCATGAAGGTAATGTAACCTCACGCAACCTCTATCTCCCTCCACCCCAGCTGGATTTTCATAGCAGCACTAGTTGGCTGGTGACAAAAATATCTATATATCCAACCTTCAAACCCCTTCCTGTCCCATTCCCTCAGTCTCAGTAGCAACCTCTGTAACAAGCTTGTATGAGTGTGCAATTTTTAAAGGTACAGTATCCCTTTTTCTGTTTTTAACTGGGGAAGGGGTAGTCTCAAGGTCACTGGGGCATTGATTTACAGTGGCAGCAGCAGCAGTATCATACTCTAAAGCCCCTGTTTTCATTTGGTGTATTTGATTTCTCTATTCTTCGTCATAGGTGTCTGGGAGACGGGGCGGGGGATGAGGGAAGAGAATCTCCTTCCGTAAATGACTGTTTAATTTGTATGGATGGATTAAAGGAATACTGTGTCCTTACAAAGACCGGTTTGCAAAACATCCCTGAGCTTTAAAAAACCAACCAACCTAAACCAGACTGGTCTTCCGTGATCCATGTCTTGCTGAGTCCATTCTTGAATTTGTCCCAGATGGAGTTTGCCATAATAGAGTTTCCATTGCCAAGGCATGGGGGTATGGGGTGGAATGTGATCACAGCGTAACTTTGCTAACCACTTATTCTGCTTTCCATGGTGCTCTCATATCGATTGTCCACCCTCCCTCCCCACCCCTCCCACATCCCTCTGCTCATTGGCTGTTAAAAACAAATACATAAATACATACAATCTATTTCATGGGTCAGTAGCAAGGTGTATTTGGCTGTTTCTTAGAGGCATTTATTTTACATCCTGGCACTGGAAAGGGTGGGGAGACTTCCCAGTGCTTTCATGGCGCCACTGCACTGGACATCTGCATGTCTAAGCTCCCCCCTCCCATGGCCACCTGGGCATATTGTGCAGAGAGGTTCAGAAAAGAATGCTTGGAACTGAGCAACAGACTGGTATAAAATCCAGAGAGCCAGAATCTGTTATGGGGGGTCAGGGAGTCAGTATCCCCTAAACAGTTACTATTTCTGTATTTCAGTAGCAGGTATTTCTAAGCAGGAAAGCTGCTGCTTAGCAGGAGGTACTGGATCTCCCAAGTGACCTCAGTGTAAGGGCTGGTTGGACCTAGGGATGGAGGCAGGGCAGATATGAATGTACTGGTCATTGGAGTAGCACATATTTCCAGCTTTCTCAGTATTTGGAATTTAAATAGCAAACCTTCTGTTTGGTCATTTCTGGTCTCCATAAGACTGTGGTTAAAAGAGAAGCTGCTTTTAATATATAGATGCCAAGTGTCCATAATGTATAACTAGGCAGAGATGTCAATTAATCTAGGAAACCTTGTTAGTCTGTGGAGAGTGAGAGAAGATGACTTTCAGTCATGCAGCTGGTAGAGGCCTGCATTATAAACACCAACAGGTGCTCTGCTCAAATCTCTGCACCTTTGAGCTCAGTTTGGAGGCCCTCTTTTGCAACAAACTCCATGCACGCAGGCAGCCGCCCAATGAGGGGTCAGAGGGGTCCCCCTGCATGTAGCTCATTGCAGGATCAAGGGGCCCAAAATAGGAGTTATCTTGGAATAGCTTCTATGATGTATTCTTGGGTCTGAGGCATATCTCAAATCACTGCAGAAAGTTCTAGAGAACATAGTGTAGCAATTTAATCTGCAATACATTTGACACCATTGGAGCCTTGCCTGTGGGTTATGAGGAAGACAGGGTTGTTTCTTTTAAAATAAAATAAAATGAAATTTTAAAAAGTGAGTTCTGAAGTGGGTTCTCACTCTCTCCCTTTTATATTAGCAAGTGTAGCATGGGTTTGTGTGTGTGTAGTTCTAATGCTGATGAGCAATTCTAGGAATAATGTACTTGTAGGATGCAGTGAACTGCTGTTAATAGATGCACTAGGAGAAGGCTCACCAAAGAGAGTGACGATGTAGCAGGAAGGAACCACAGGAGAGGAGAATTCTTTAACAGATGAGCCAGTGAAAAGGCAGGGTTTCAATAGAAGTAGGCAAGGGGCCACTCTTAGCCAGTAAAAGAATTGATTCAGTTGATGTAACTGAAGGACAGGGGGGTAAAAAATAGGGGGTACGGGGGGGTTTTTTTTTGGGGGGGGGGGGGGAAGGAGGTTCCAGTCAGCATACATTAAAGACGGTAACATGGAGGACGTGCAAAAAAGTTGTTAAAGTTCAAGTTCATTTAGGGAAGGCTAAATAGAAATGAGCCACTAAATTATGGGTTTACCATAATGAGAAGAGGGGGGAGGAGCAATGGCAAAAAAGGATTCAGAATGTGTTGATCCAAGGAGGAGAGAATCCTTTCGGAGGTGACACCTACAGTTCTGTGCCCTCCTCTTTCTGTGTGCCATAGGCAAACTAAACGGACCCGGCTTGGGAGTGCTCTGGCAGCATCTTGCTCGGCTTTCTTTGCACATTTTGCCCCCATTTTTGTTCCTGGCTGTCGGGCTCGTGGGGATGGCAGGGCATCATCCTGAAAACTTACAACGTTTCTCTCTTGGCAGGCATGGGAAAGAAGGATGATCCAAAGCTGATGCAGGAGTGGTTCAAGCTGGTGCAGGAGAAGAATGCTTTGGTGCGCTACGAGTCTGAGCTGATGATATTGTGAGTGAGCAGAGGGCTTTCTGCATGGGGTATCACAGCTTCAAAGATGAGATTACTCACAGATAGTACTGGCAGGGCCTCCCTCCAGCACTGTCGTGGCTGTGATGGTAAGAGGCCAGTAATAAGTGTTCAAAAGCCTCTTGGATAGAAAGCAGTTCCCAGCCAGTAAGTTAATAAAGGTACATTTTGGAGGAGTCTCCAGTACAAAAAGAACTCGTGATGAGTGGAAGCACAAAAGGTTTGGATAAGTCCTAAGTGTGAATGTTAACCAAAGGTTTGAGCCCTCCCACTGTCCTCCCAGGCTCTTTCCGTACAAAGCATCCCTTGCTTGCAGGTTCATCCCCAATCTTTCATTTGTAGTTTTAGTGGCAAGTGGTCTTCGGGGAATGACTGGGCAACCCATTCTCCTGCTGGTGCAAGATCCTTTTTTGAATGCAGCCAAACTGTCTGCATTCCTATCCCTTCTTTAAATGGGTCCTGTAGTCCTCACTTCTCTGTCTCCAGTGAGACCCCATAGCCTTCCAACTGGGCGCAGATGCTACAGCTCTTTTCCAGCTTAGGAACACTAGGGACTTCCATAGTGCTTATGCCCCAAAGTGCACTGCATGCTACTGAAACAAGTTTCTGACCAGGCAAGACTTGACTTTGATGTTTCAAAAGCTCAGTGTGCCCTGGGATGCTACTACCAGAGAAGCCCCAAAATGCTGCTCAGATTGGAATCTGAGGAGGCAATGCCCTCAGTCGTCCATTACTTGGCAGGTAACTTTTTCTTCAGAGTGGGATGTAGCAGGAGCGAGACTTGCACAGAGGTAAAATGTGGCTTGAGCAACGACTGCAGATACATCTGCTCCTTCACGCTGTCTCTGTCTTGGATTTTAAATCCAGCTGGTAACACTGTGAATAAGTTCAGTCTAAGAAAGCAGCTGAGCTGCTTGCTGCCCAGACATATGAAAAAGGAATCTCTCTCCACAATCTTCTTGTCTTTCTCCATCTGCCCACTCCAGTTGAAGACTAGTGTTGTGGAAGCATTAAGATTACATTTTAATCAGGAAAGAAATGGCTACACATCTTCAGTGTTGTTCCAAAAGGAGTCAGAACAGTTCTGAAGGGAAGGGGGGGTCTGGAAAGGTAAATACAGTAGGGTGGGAGGAGAGTAAACACCAGAATATTTTAATTTGCTTAAGTGGCAATCTGTGTGGTGGCTCCTTGCCAGCACAGCACGCACCGTAGGTTCATTCTTGCTTTGTTTCTCCTTTTAGTGCTCGAGAATTGGAGCTGGAAGACAGGCAGAGCCGGTTACAGCAGGAACTCCGGGAGAGGATGGCAGTGGAAGGTAAGGGTGAAGAGGACCAGCAATCCGTGGAGTACGTTCATGTATTTGTTTCCAGTCCTGGATCCTTTGACACTTTTGATTTTTTTTCTCCAGATCACCTGAAAACAGATGAGGAGCTGTCAGAAGAGAAGAGGATCCTGAACGAGATGCTAGAAGTTGTGGAGCAGAGAGACTCTCTGGTGGCCCTCCTTGAGGAGCAGCGGCTTCGAGAAAAAGAGGAGGACAAGGACCTGGAAGCTGTTATGCTGTCCAAGGGCTCTAGCTTGAACTGGTCCTGAGCTAAGATACTCACCGCTGCTGGTCTGTGCTATCCAGTTGGCCTACCGCTGAGTTTGCCAGAACTACCTGGATCGAGAAATCTTGAGGGGGAAACCTTGTTAAGGGTTCTGCAGCATGCAGGAATTCAGTTTGAAGCACCCAGAAGCCTTTTGATAAGTGGGTTTGGTTCTAGAGGCTTGGGTCCCACACAACGTCTGCAAACCAAGCTGAAGACGATGGCCTGAGATTGCACAGTCTCCTTGGAGTCCTGTACAAGGGGCCATTAGGATTTGTGATATGAGGGGAAAGGGTAAACTTTTTGTGGAGGGATTTATTACCTTTTAATGGGGAAAAACCCTTAACCAAACTGGATTTGCTGCAATCTGATCTCTCTCCCTTTTTCACTATTAGCATTTTTTAATAAGAGGGAGAGAAATGGCTACCCTCTCCTGAAAACCACAGCAGCCTGTAGCAGTCCTTGAGGGAGTTAACCAGCTAAAGGAGAGCTCCCGAAGCCCAGAGCAGCACCTTCTTTGTTTTATTCTTCCTCCCCACCAAAGAAACAAACCTGAGGCGACCATTATGCATGGATGTGAAGGAACACTGGAAAGAGAAAACATTGGTGGTGTGTTTGTTTGAAACCTCTTCTGTCCATCCTGGCTTTTGAGGAGACAAGGGCCTCAGAGGACACACACTCACTCTCTTTTGTACTCTCCAGAGTTATGGTAGAAGAAGAGTAGAGAAAGAGTGGGGATTTCTCCCCCACTTTGTTACACACTGGACAGAGAGCTACTGCTGGTCTCTTGTGTTCATGGCCACTGTTCAAAGGCTAATAAGTTTCTCTGGTTTGTTTTTTGTTGCGACCATTTTGACACTGGAAAATACTGACTTTGTGGGACAATGGTAAGTGTTTGGGGGGGGGGGGGGTCGTCAAACGGCATTCCCTGGCTTTTAAACCCACAGAGGGAGCCACCTCTGGATGAAACGTTGTTGAGACTCTTCAGTGTTTGTTTGGTTTTTTTCCCCTCTATTTCATTTTTGCACGTCAGAAATGAAGCTTAAGACCTGCCTGGGCCCTCAGTCACCTTGACCCTTTTATGTCAATTAACTTATTTTTTTAATACTTGAAAGAAGATTCATTTTTGTACCTTTTAAGAAACAAATGGACAAGTGAGTGATGGGGGTGTGCCTGCTGCATCCCACAACCTCTTCTTCTATATTACAGGACTCTTGTTACCTGTGGCTATTTATTAGTAATGTTACTGTTACACTTCTTGGGTCGGGGAGGAGTGTGTGTTTTAACTCTAGGAGAGCAAGACACTACCGCAGATTGGTCCCTGCTTTGGATACAGGGCAGACTTCATGGACTCACATATGCATCCTGCCCTAGCCAAGTCCTTTTTATGGTGAACTCCTGCACATCCATGGAGTTGTGAGAATCCAGTAGTGTTCATAGCAGATTTTCCCTCTGTATCCCAGATTCCCTCTCTCTGGACTAACAAACCTATAATTTATTTGAATACCATTAATAGTTTGTAACAAGAAAATCAGAATTGTGACCTAAAAATTATCCCCCCACCAAGCTCTCCCTTCCACTTAGAGGGTGAACCCTGCCATTGTACGAGCTGCCTAGAGTGACTTCCAGCATAGCAAATTAGGCACAATTCTTTCTGCATCTGCCAAAGCAGGCTCCTTTCTGCTCCACTCCCAGAGCTGCTGCCTTTGATACAGGAGGGTGCCCGTTGTACTCCTACTTGCAGTAGTGGGCAGGACATACACTGAGCAATCCAGCTACCATGCTGGGAAAGACTCTGCAGTCTGTCACCATTTGGCAGACTCCAAAAGTACATTACATCCTTAACCCATCCCACTGGGCATAGGGCGTGATGCCAGGCATCCCTCTTAACTTTGAATTTCCTAGCCGAGTTTGGTTTGTGTCACATCCTTAGCATGATCCATTGTTAGTGAGTTTTTCTCTGGGATTTAACAGCAAAGGAAGATAGTTAAGCCTGCTTCCCCCGGTATCTGAGAGCGAGTGTCCCATTCCCAAACAAATCCATACAGCACCTTTGAGATTGCTGACGCCATAGCCTGGAGGACAGGCTGGTGGTGGAACAGATACACAAACAGTGGGGTCCTTCTCATTTAATCTTCTGCTGTATCCGAAAGGGACTCTCCCTTCTGCTTTGGGGAGACTCCTTGAGTTACTCGCTTCCAGTGTTCATAAAGGACATGGATCCTTTCTTTTTGGCCATCTGCTCCCCCCAGCAGAGTCCTCTGGATTCCTGTGGGAGCTTGGAGGAGCCCCATGTCTGTTTTCTCGACTTCGCACGACTGTTAGGGACCCATGCCATGCCCACTGTACTTCAAGCAGAGGAGGAATGGATGGGACACTCTCCAGAGACCATCTGCAAAGCTGTTTAGTTGGCTGTGGAAACATACTTTCTCCCACCCGACTCCAGCCCAGCTAGCAGGGGCTGAGCAAGCTGTCTCCTGTGCTTCCTGCTCTTTCCATCCCAGGGAGTATGTGACCACAAATTAAACCCAAGGTTTAGCAAAGCAACGCAGAGAGCCAGGCACTGTGTTAATTAACAGTGCGCATGCTAGGTACCCAGAGCAAAACTCCTGTGAAGTGCTGGCATTCCAGTGGAACGTCTGCACATAGACCTTCACCTGCCTGTGTAGTGAAGGGGCAAGCTGTAGCTGCAGACCCAGCAGGGGGAGTTTACACACACTGTTTTTGTAGGTTGCACCACAAAAATAGTGACTTCTGCACACAAAAAAAAAAATCTAGGGTGGCTCTTGCTGACTGTTTTCCTAAAAGCAGCCTCGACCCATTTTAATAGCACACAGTGTTTGAGGAACACAGCTGATTTTGAACTGGAGATCATGAAATGCGCACTGCAAATAAAAAACAAAAAGCTACCCTGCCCTCCTCATTTATGCTGTATAAAAAGAGCCTCTTGACATAATATTTTTTAAATTGCTGGTTGCTTGTATTGAAGAAATATGAGGTTCCCACTTTTCTCTTTGTGCTGGCAGACTTGAATAATGATGTCACACAAGGTTCTTATCTGACAACAGCCCTCCCTGCCCCCAGCTAAAAGGGTGGTGGGGAGACGCGTGTTCTTAAACTCTGCAACCCTTCAGGTCTCACTGGCCTCAGAGAAAGTAAGGACCTAATGCATATGTAAAAACAAAAAAAATTTTAAAACCAAAATTGAGGCCTGTTTTACATCATAAACAACTGTAAAGGGCACAATTTGTATTTGCAGTTCAGTTAAATTTTAAGAAAATCCATCACGTAAGCACTAGTTTTTAATTAAAAATATTTATTTTTTAGAATGAAATATAGAGACTCTTGTCACATGAAACCATCTGGGTGCATATTTTCAAACTGCCGCCTTCTGCAACTGCTTCTGAGCAAGGTGTTCTACAGAGCCGTCCCTTGGGTAGGGCGAATCGGGGTGACCACTTTGAGGGGCCCCGCGGGCCGGTGCGATTGGCCAACACGGTCAGTCGTGAAAGAGATGAATCCATCACTTCTGCCCTGGGCCCCGCTCCCCCCTAGGGACGGTCCTGGTGTTCTAACTCTTTGAGCTAGTAGAGATGGATAACAACAAAACTGTGGCAATGTGCACTCAGTGATACGTGCTGCCTTGAATGTGAGGGAGGCCAAAGGCCTTCAGCCTCGGAGAAATATGCATCTATTAGTACAAGTGCGGGCCCCCATGGATGGTACTAACCAGACCATGGGCTGGCTCAGCAGTGGGGTGAAAGCTGAGTTTGGAACCTAAGCTCCATGTCTATTCCTAAACTGACTGAGACTGGGGACATGCAGGAGGCAGGGTACTCAGTCCCTGGGGAGGAAGGAGTCCTAGGCTTCAGACTGCTCGGATGTTGATGGAAGACAATCCAACCCTGGGCTAGAGGGACAGTTCAACCTAATGTGAAGCCCTAACCCTTGCTGGGGAGAGGAAAGAATAAAAGAGGAAACGGGGGTGAGGGAGAGTCCCCAACCAAAAGAATTGTTTTTTATTATTTGGGGCAATACAAATAATTTTAAAACTGATTTCCAAACAAAAATCTCATCTCATGGGAACGAGAATATCTTTTAACATGGATTCCTTTTTAAGTAATTCACCAATGACTGTAAAAGCCACCAGGGTTGTGTCCCGAGCTGCAACCCAAGCTGCTGCCCCTGTGATAGGTAGCCTGAAGCTGCTCTTTGAAAAGAAACTCGCATTTCAGATGAAAAATGGATTTTAGGAATTGTAAGAGGGGTAGGGGTTGATTTGAAAAGCCAACTGCATTGACTAGTTATAATCCCTTAGGGTGTCTCTCTGCCGCAGGGGGGAGAGAGCCTCCCAGCCTGGGTAGGCAGACACAGACTAGCTCTGCGTGAGCTAGCATGCTAAAAATAGCACTGTAGACATTGCAGCACAGGCTAGCCACCCAAGTACAAGCCTGTCCGAGCCCAGTGGCTAGCCCCTGCTGCCACCCTCGCCATAATGTCCACACTGCTATTTTTAGCATGCTAGCTCGAGCCAAGCTGGTGTGTGTCTCTACCTGAGCTGGGAGGCACCTTCCGAGCTGCAGTGTGGACATAACCTTAGTGCCTGATCCTGCAAACAACATACTACTGGGCATAGCACTGACCACTGTGAGGAGTCCCTTCAGGGGGACGACACATTGTAGTAAGTACTATTCTTGATAAGTTTTTGCAGCATTGGGCACTTAGCTAAATAGATATTACAAAATGTTTCAAACCAGCTTCTAGAATCCCTGTCACTTGTTCAGTTTCTCCAACACATGGGGATTATCTTTCTTAGTAGCACCTGCCCCTTTGACGCTGTGTCTCCGCTGGGATCTCGTGATGACTCAGAATTGGGAAGTTCTAGAATATGATAACAAAAATACATATCCGTATAAGACTTACCTTACAACTTTGAAGCTTTCCTGTACTTTCTGATGGCAGTGCTGATCTCTTCAGCCCTACGTTAATTCATCCTGGCTTCTTGTTTGGTAATTAATTGTTTTTCAGTTCTATTCAAGATATTTAACATTTATTTTTTACTCATTTACTCTTCTTCCCACCGAACTTAGGATCTTTCTTCTCATACCATAGTCTTCCGAGAACAGCTCCCACCTGAAGCAACGTGATTTCAGAGTTGCACGTCAGGAATGTGATCTCTGTTGGGAGCACAGTACCCAGTGTACAGCCCTGCCTGCTGTGGGCGGTTGCATGCAACGAGCTCCACAACTTTTAATTTCCATTCTCTGAAAGTGAGCATTAAAAATAGACCTTGATGGCAGTATGCTTAGTTCCTGTGGTCAGTAACAAATGCTCCCTCCCACCCCATCCTCATCCAGTAATCCAGCCCTCCCCAGACAGAGTCTAAACTACAACAATGCAGGAATAAATAGGGCCCTAATGGTTCACTAAGGAAAAACTCCTAATATCCTTTTCCTTTAATAATTTTGTTGCTTGTTCATGACTGTATTGGTTTGAGAAAAGTTGCTATGGTTAAGTAATCCCTGATTTTATATGCATGGCTGATGCATTGTGCCCTGATTCCTTTGACTAGTCTTATAAAATGAAATTAAATAATCCCCATCTTTGAGAAATGGTTCCTTCTGCTACAGGTCTCTCTGCATTAGAGATGTTCCCCCAATCACTAGAAAGGTTAAACATT